AAGAGCAGCACGCACAACCTAAAACTGGCTCCTTGCTCAACTGTGCGTGATGTTGAGACATGACGGTGGTTCATCAGCTTCTAAAGCATGCTTGTTTGATATATCCACACAAATATGTGTTTTTAGCTAATATCAGTCCCAAAACTCGAGCCTGTCACACGTTCAGATATCTGAGATGTGTGACTCTGACACCACATCCCTCTGAGCCTGCAGCAAACTGAAGCTGGTTTATGGTTGGTGGATATTTTGGTTGTCACTTTTAAAGGTGTGACCTCCTGTGGGGTAACACCGCAGCTTTAATGTGTGAGCGGGGTGCACATGAACCACATGCCGTTTGGTAGTAAATCTGATAATCAGATAACACCGGCTGCAGGAGGGAGGGGTGGGGGTGTCTGAGCCTTGCTGTCTTAGCTCGCTGCTCGGCTCACAGCGAACACGTGAAGCTGAATCTTTGGCTGGTGAACAACAGGAAACATGTTTCCAGAACAACACGAGCCCACGAAAGCACTGTCAGTGCAGATAACGTCACTATTATCATCACTGAGACTGACAGATATGTGACATCACAGGGATGATCATGTGACGATGTTCGGTGCTAGGCCCACACTTTTTTATGCAGTGTTATTTGTTCTGATTATTCCGATTTTTTGTGTGTGTCACTACTTCTGTCCAAACAGGAAGTGACTTGGCAACTGAATGCCACAGACACTACGAGGATGGACACATTAAACTTTTCCCTATTTTGAGGAGAGAAAAGGAGACTACCAATGAGAGCAAAGATTATTGTTGATTAACATATGACCTGGAGCGTTACCTAGGCAACTGGAACTTTATAATGAGCTTTTCCAACAACATTCTGGTGTATTTATTCATCTCTTGCATATTCTGGCTTTCCCTAAATGAATATGTATACATAACGGAGCCGTTTTTATATGTTAAAGCTTTTTGTTTGTGGACTTGGTTTCATGACTTGCTGATCTCACTGTGTTATTTGCATTTTTAGCTGTGGAGCTCCAGCTGGACCTGTGCGCATTACACTTCTTATTCTTTATTTTGTTCAGTTGAGTTATTTTCCCTTTCATAAGGACATGGTATGGAATTTTATTTAGCATACACAGAGTTTATTGTCATTTTTTGATGAATTTATTTAAATCATGTGGCTTTTTTTTATTTAGATGCATGCAAACTGAGTTCAAGTGTAACTTTTTTTCTTCTGCATTTTTAATTGTTGGGTTTATTATTCTGCTTTCAGCTTCGAGCTGCTGTCTTTAATTTTTTGTAGCTGTAACAGGTAACACATAAATTTTCGTTTAAATTCACACATTCACATCTGGCTGTTTTGGCTGTGAACAACGACAGGAACAGAAATGTCGGTGAACTGAGAGGGCTATTTCCGGCGTCTTTTGCCAGGTGTGATCTACCTGCGCTAAAGCCTGGCTGTGGGTGTGTCCCGGTGCTGCTTACCTTCTCTCGCTTGTCCCAGCTGTACTGCTTCGGAGCCTCCTCGCTGTTGTTGCCAAGGGGAACCGCGTTGCCCGTCGACGCAGTTTCGGCGGAGGTTGTGGTCGGCGCCCGTTCCTCTTTTTCCGGCGACTTTCTCTTGGATTTCTTGGAGAAGAAGCAGCCCATGGCGGCCTCGAAACGACGGGGCAAGCGGGAGCGGGTTTGTGGGCTCGGAGAACGCGGTTAATGCGGCCGAAGCTCAGGCTCGAACTCTTCGCTTGGCTCGGTATTTTTCAGCTTCCCGTTTCACGGATTCGTTTCGCAACCAATCGAAACCCCGAGGGTCGCTGTGTCAGCCAATTACAGCCGTGAGCATAGTGACGAAAGCACGCTCACAGGGGGCACGCTCACGAGACGTTTATGGACAAGTAGGAAAAAGGAGCTCAGAACCAGTCTAACTCTGATTTATGTTTGCGAAACACGCACATGAAGATTGTGGAAGGCCAGAAGCTCTAAAATGAAATATTTAATTAATTAAATAAATCATTAAATATGTTATTAATTAATTACAATTGGAAATAAATATTACACAATTTATTAAATGTTTTAGATGGAATGAATGGGCATTTAATTCATGATTTATGTATTAATTTATTTAATTTATTAATTACATTGTTTCTACTCTGATTTGATGTTTTTTGTCACGGTGCAGATTTCTGACAGTTTTTGTAAATTTAAGCATATAACAATTTGATTATTTGTAACAAAAGAGTGTGAAACCTCACTTAGACCATTTCTAACCAAACCACGTTATGTTGTGTAGCCTTCTGGATTTTAAACTTATTATCCAGGCTATACAGTATATAAAATCAAAATTCACATCTTTTATGTAACTGAAATGTTTAATTATCTGGGCTACAGAAAGTAAGAAATTTACAGACTATGTTCATAAGAAACATGTTTGCACTTGCTGTATTTTAACCATATATAATGCATATTACAGGATGTAACACCTGCATATGTGTAAAGAAATGACTGTGATTTTGCCACCCTAAGTATATTTTTCTAGCTCCACATCTACACCTAAACAGAGGTGGGCAGCACTCACCCAGGTGAAAACTAAAAACTCTTATTTTTACAGAGTACTGCAAAGGCAGCAGCAGTGACACCAGGCCACGCCCCTGAGGCTGCTTCCTTCACACCAGAAAGCAGCTTCCACAAACATATTATTGTGATGTAAATAATAACCGCTGACATGAAAATCATGTAGTTCAAAGCTGCTGCTTTGAGGCCGCCATGTTTATGTGCTGAGGTCTAACTGTGCGCAACCAAAAACCACACACACACACACACACACACACGCTCACGACAGATTAGCTTGCAAGTTAAGCCACAGGCCACTGTAATTATATGTAATTCTCCTCTCCCTGCTGAAGCCTCTCTCATTAATTGATCATTAATATACAAATTGTCATGACCACTGATCAAAGCCCATCAATGGATCACTGGATCAAGTTCTGATCAGGTTCTGACCCACTGTGGCCAAAGCTCTTGCTCATCAGGGCTCATATCATTGTTGGGTTTTCTCTGTCTTATTGTAGGTCTTGACTTTACCATATAAAGCGCCTTGATTGTTTTTTGTAAAACATCGCTATGCAGATAGATTTTAATTCCAGGAATGAGCTGACATTGTTTAATGTGTCCACTTCACTTTCATCCACATGGGAGGAAGTCCCATGCTCTTTAGGTCTTGTGGTGTCATATTACTCCAGTTTATTGTGGTAATCTAGTAGCACGAGATCAGCCGATGTCTTTGTAGCTCCTGTTCTGCCTGCAGCCTGCTGGAGCAGAGATGCTGGGAACCCTGTGCATCAGGAGGAATTATAGAAGTTCAGTTTCAGCATCACTCACACAAAAGCAGAAAGTCCAAGGAAACAGCTCCAGATTTCTCAGATAGCCCAGGAGTGACTACCTACTACTATAAGCTGTGTAGAATAATAATGAACAGAATGATCAAATATGCAAAGGAGTAGGAGCCCTCCACTCCCACTCACACAAAAACACAGCCCCATTCATCTACCTGTCAATTTGTAAAAACCAGGAAGATTGAAAATGAATAATATATGCACAATAATAATAAAAGAAAGTGCTGGATAAGATTAAAAAGACACAAAAACCTGCTTTCTGATTGCTTGCTTGCTTGTTTGCTTCCTTAAAGGTGCTTTTCGCAGTGACCCTCTGCAGACACTGACTGAAACTTTGACCACCAAGGGGCAGCATCTGTAACATTTTCAGAGTGTGTTGCTGTCTAAACTTTTTATATTGGCCGTTTCTCAGTACTCAAGAACGCAAGTCGGTACTTGCATTCTTGCTAGTCCATACTTAGTAAGTTCACACAGGAGTCCATACTTTCCAAGAACATAACGCAATCATTCTAAAATTGGAATGGCACTGTACTTGATGACATCACAACTCCAGAGTTTGTTTAATATTTGCAATGGAAATTACACGATCGCCCATATTTGCAATGGGCGTTCGTCTTGTAATCGGAAGGTTGCCGGTTCGAGCCCCGGCTCCGACAGTCTCGGTCGTTGTGTCCACTTCACTTCAGACACTTCACCCGCTGCCTACTGGTGGTGGTCAGAGGGTCCGGTGGCGCCAGTGTCCGGCAGCCTCGCCTCTGTCAGTGTGCCCCAGGGTGGCTGTAGCTACACTGTAGCTGCCATCACCAGTGTGTGAATGGGTGGATGACTGTGTATAGTGTAAAGCGCTTTGGGGTCCAAACTTTTTAGCCACTCTCCTTTGCAAGAACGCAAGTACGCGTGCTGAGAAACGGCCATTCTCTTTAGCCCCTCCCTTTAGTTCCCTCGGGTGGCTTTAAAGCAGGGGTGTCTAACGTTAATATTTATTGAAAAAAAAATCTTCCTCTAGATATAAGAATGAATCTTTTCTTATGGACTCATAACAAGTTTTGCTGATAGCGTCAGCTGATATATTAGCTGTATAATACCAGTAGGCCAGCTCTAATAGTAATTTGGTATGGCTTCGCGGGCCAAATGTAATTAGGCTGCGGGCCAAATTTGGCCCGCGAGCCAGAGTTTGATACCTATGCTTTACAGTGACTCGCTGCACCATCTTGTGGTTTAAAATGGTATTACATAAAAACCGCAGTCCAGCTCCATATCCACAATCAGCAGTCATAACGAGCTATGTATCTAACTGGTAGTAAGGAAGGGACTGATGGAGGTGAGGGAGGTGGACCTCGATGATCAGTGTGAGAACCAAGCTCACGTCAAGGAGTGAAAATTTCAACTAACAGTGGAAATGTGATAATTGACTGCATACAGTTTTATCATGTTTATTGTGTTTACACTGTTTCATAAACGGTGTTGGGGGCGGGTAGGATTAAAGAGGAGGAGAAAACGTCGATCCTCGTATTTTCACGCTGGACACTGGAGGGTGGAGTGGGTGGTGCAGCTGCTTCCACTGCAGACACATCATGTGAGCAGCTTCCCCCTCCTCTACCTCAGCCCGCTTTCAGCTGCGCGGTCGTCACAGCGCAGGCGCAGTGACTCAGGCGCGTGGCTGAGAGACCTCCTCGGTGCACGCCGCGCTCGTCAGAGGCTCAGCTGATGGCGCAGAGATGATGGCCGCATGGATCCTCCTGAGCTGTGCGTGGGGACAGGGCATGCGCGCGGAGGACTTCGCGATGGAGGAGCTGGCCACGGAGAAGGAGGCGGAGGAGAGCCACCGGCAGGACAGCTTTAACATGCTGACCTTCATCCTGCTGCTCACCCTCACCATCCTCACCATCTGGCTCTTCAAGCACCGGCGGGTCCGCTTCCTGCACGAGACCGGGCTGGCGATGATCTACGGTGAGCCTCGCCTTTACGCTTAACGGCACGCTCGCGCACGCCGACACCGCACTCTTTGCGTGATTCGGTCAGAGGAGGAGACGCGGCCGTTATTTTTAAGACAGTGCAGAGCCGCCGACGCGCGTGCGCGTTTCACATCGAGCTGCCGGTTCTGTGTCAGCGCGCTCCTGTGCGCGCACCTCTCTGTCTGAGCGGAGATCAGCCGAGCAGCTGCTTCAAGAGTCCAAGTGACACCAGCCGGCAGTCACATCACACTCATCACAGACACACACACCACTTATAACAACCCTGTTATAACCCTGCTGCCGGTAGAATACTGTGTATGTGTGTGTGAGTGTGTCTGTTTGTGGGCTGATTCAGAGCCTCAGCCCAGCCTGGTTCTTCTGCTGAGGCTGTCCTGCCTCAGCAAACATGGAGAATGATGACATGAACAAAGATCATCAGATAATGTGCGAATGTCTCTGATCACCTGCAGTGATTAGTCAGAAGGCCTGCTGGTGTGACACATCTGCACGGTCCCAGTGATGGAGGCCGTCCGTCCAGCGTGTCACTCATTAACCACACATGTCCTCCGAAGAAGGCAGACTTTGATTTGTTTGGACCTAAAGTTCCAAGGCAAACATGGCTCTGGTGATTTTCCAAGTGTGGTGTCTGTGCTGCACAGGGTCAAAAACAGGAAACAGGCACTGCGCTCACAGCTGACGTTTGCTTCTTTAACACCGTTTCATGTTTCATTACTACTTATACATGCAGACCTCATGTACTAATATCTGTCAGCCATACTCTGCAGTTAATTGAGTAACGTTTAACTTCCAGTTAGGCAAACAAGTTCACACAGGAACCTCAGACCATTTAAAGCGTGCTGGAGGAAGCAGGCGGCAGTTAGGCAAACAAGTTCACACAGGAACCTCAGACCATTTAAAGCGTGCTGGAGGAAGCAGGCGGTGCAGTTCAGGGACTCTGGTTAGCTGAGGTGAAGCCGAGCAGACAGCTACAGTTAACTGTGTTGCCATCCACCTGTCAGAGAGACTTTTACACAAAAACACACCCTGAGTAGCCTTGATTATGTAATGTTATCCATTATTCTTCTACTGATTCTAAGGTCTGGTTAAGGACATCTTGTTCAGACTTTCTGACCCAGAGACTCATTCTAACCATTATCAGTGTGTGTAAGCATGCTGCAAAATATCTCTCTGCACTCAACATGCACCTGCAATATTTCAAATCCAGACAATAACGAGGAATGAAGCTCTCAGCCTTTAAAATACGGAGCGCCAACTCGTTTATGCGCACATTTGCATAGTGTATAAATAAAATGATTAAAACAGCTTTATTTAATGATTAACATAAAAAGTCAAACATTTTCAACACTAACACAGGTCAAAGAGGCCACGCCCCTAAAACACAAACTTGGGTTACCTACCTAGTTTATCAAGGTCAAGATAAACTTTATTATCTCCAAGGGGCATTTGCTTTGTTGCCACCTGCATAAATAACACACATAACACATACACCCAAAACACAAACCACATAACACAATGTAAAAAATTAACAGTGGTAGGAACAAGTGAACCATGAGGCAAAGAACCTCCACCCTGAAGCCAGTGAGACAGTCGGTGTTCCAGTCTGCTGGTACTGTGGACTCCGCCGGTTAAACCTGTGATAGTGTAAGAAATGCTGCTGCAGCTTCATGCTGTTGACGATGAGACGCAGCCACGAGGACGTTTGTCCTGATTTTACTTCCTGCTGAAAATCAGAGAACAGAGAAAGTGAAACAGCAAGTGGTTTAATTCTATATGTGTGTGTTTGTGTGTCTGTGTGTGACTGTGTGTGTGTGTGCGTTTGTGTGCGCATGCGCCTGTGCGTGTGTGTCTGTGTGCGTGCGTCTGTGTGTTTTTGTGTGTGTGTCTGCATGTGTTTGTGTGTGTGTCTGCAGGTGTCTGTCAGTGTCAGTGTGTGTCTACATGTGTGTGTTTGTGTGTCTGCATGTGTGTGTGTGACTGTGTGTGTTTGTTTGTGTGTGTCTGTTTATGTTTGTGTTTGTGTGTGTGTGTTTTTGTGTGTGTGTCTGCATGTGTTTGTGTGTGTGTCTTCAGGTGTGTGTAGGTGTCAGTGTGTGTCTACATGTGTTTGTGTGTCTGCATGTGTGTGTGTGACTGTGTGTGTGTGTGTGTCTGTTTATGTTTGTGTGTGT